TGGCCTCGAACTCACAAAGATCCGCCTGCCTCTGCCTCCCGAGTGCTGGGATTAAAGGCGTGCGCCACCAACGCCCGGCGTTGTTTAGGTATTTTGATAAGGATATTCACTGTTTATGTTGACTGTTCTACTTAAGCCCCTATTTAGTAAAATAACTGTATTTTTATTAATAATAAAGTGATTTTGAACTTTCTGTCTTAGAACCAATTTCTTTGGTCAGGTGTGTTGTCTCACTCTAGTGACCCCAGAAACTCCTGTAACATCAGAACACTCTTATGGGTCTAGCTTTTGCTATATATTGAGTTCCCATTAAGCCAGGTCTATGCAGGGCTTAGGATGTGGATATCCATTGTATGTTGGGAAAGCTATTGATACTGTATCTTTGTGTACATATATTTAGCTCTCCCTCAAAGATATTATTCTTTATACACATTTCCCAAAATGATCATGAATACCTAATTAATGAAAAACATAACAGTATTGCTCTAAAGCCTCTCAGGAAATGAAAACATCGATTAAGGGAGCATTAAATAAATCCATGGCATGCTTGCCACCTGGGGCTATGATAATGCCCTTTCCTGGGCTGCTGCCAAGTGCCATGTCCTGTCCATGGCCCTGAGGAAGCTGTGGAGGTCTATGTTGATATCCATATCTCCTTTTACTAGTGAGGGCCTTGCAGCCACCTGCAGTCTGGGCCACCACCTTTGACCATGTTGTTGTCAAAGGGATATGCCCCCCAAAAGAGCATGTGTGTCTTAGAAGCCTGTGTTGCCACCTAGGACCATAATGACATCTGGACCAGGGCTGCTGCTGAGGGTTGTGTCTGGGTCCATGGCCCTGTTGCAGCCAGGGTCTGTGTTGATGTCTCAGGCTCCTGTGGCCATCAAAGACAGTGCAGATGCCTGGAATCTGGGCTACTACCTGTTCACAAGGTGCTTCTGGGTCCAATCCAATCTGAGTGACCTACACTGCCAACCAGGACCATGGTCACATCCAGGCCTGGGCTGCAGTCTAGGACCATGTCTGGGTCGATGTTGCAAAGACAGCCAGGATCTGTGTTCATGTCCATGGCCTGTGTTGCCAACAAAGGCCACACAGAGGTAGGTAGGGGTCTAGGCTTCCATCTAGGTTCATGTTAGTGTCCAAGGGCTGTGCTTCTGCTGAGGCCAAAAAATCTGAGTAGTCAATGCTGCCACTAGGGGCCCTGGTGTCCTCTGGACCTAGGTTGCTTTCAAAAGACATGCCTGTATCTGTTGCCCTGCAACAGCCTTGTCTGTGTTGATGTCAGTGGCTCCTGCTACCTCTGAAGACAGGGTAGGTTAACACAGAATTAACCTCACCCTTCCCAGGCTGTAGCACTGGGGAAGCTGGACCCTGCTCCTCACCGACTTCAGCAGTCGGGTGAGTAGGTCCTGTACGTGGACCGAGCAGCACATTAGAGAGTACCTTGTTGGTGGTGGTCCAGGTGAGCTGGCCCTGAGGCTGTGAGAGCAAAAGAACTAAGTCCACCTCCTTCTTCCACCTTGTGTTGTCCAGGGTGAGGGAAAGATGCCTGCTGCACCTAAGTACATGCTACCTGTGGCTGGTGGGAGAGTTGACCTCTGCGGAATAAGAAGAGAAGAGTTAGGTCAGCCTCTCACCAACTGCAGCAATTGGGATTGTGGGCTCGGCACCTCACCTGGACAAAACAGCAGAGCTGTCTCTTGCGGTCCAAAGGTAAGTAAGGGCGAGGGCATGAGAGCAGGAAAACTGGCTTCTCTCCATTCTGCCGGCTGCAAGGGGTGAGCTAGCTGGGACAGTGCTGGGGAGCTTGCCTGGGTGGTGAGGTGAGGAGAGGTGGGGGGCTAACCAAACTGCTACCATCCAGGCCAGAACCAGGCCTGTGTGTTATCTTACCCTAACATGTTCTTTATACATGGACTGCTGGAGCATTCAAAAGGCCCAGATGTGCCTATCTAAATCTGCAGGATCTCTATGACACAAGGCATCAATAGGATATCCAACAAGTGAAGGTCCATCATCTATAGTGTAGAGAAGCCAGAGAGGCCTGGAACACTCACAAGATGTATGGACTAAAGGGTACACTGTGTGACTTACTGGATCACACTACAGCCTCCTCTCCAAGATTTTTGTTTGTTTTTAATTTTGGGTTTTCAGTTTTGCTTTTAAATTTTGTTTTGTTTTGGGGGAGTTTCAAGGGAAGAGCTCAGGTGTGAGGGAATGAGTTTGGGGGAAAGTGGGATTGGGATGCATGATGTGAAGCCAATAGAGAATCAATAAAATGTTTAAAATAAAGAAATTAGAAACACCAGAGCTATCTGCTGTAGACAGATTAATCTCTCCTGCCTGCCTGTTCACAAATAACCTGTCAGAGGCTTAATATTAATTGCAAACTGTTTGATCTATGGCTCAGGCTTCTTGCTAGTTAGCTCTTTCATTAAATGAACCTATTTCTATTAATTTGTGTTTTGCCATATGGCTATGGATTAAACTAGAAAATAACATCCTGAGTGAGATAACCTAGACTCAGAAAGACAAACATGTATGTACTCATTTGTAAGTGGATACTAGATGTAAACAAAGGATAACCAGACTACAACCCACAACTCCAGAGAAGCTATGAAACAAGGAGGACCCTAAGAAGGATGCATGGACCACCTTGGGAAGGGGAAACAGGGGAGATCTCCATGAGTAAACTGGGGTTGGGGGGGATGGTAAAGGATAGGGGATGGGAGATGAGAACATAGGGAAACAGGATGGTCAAGCTGGAACAGGGATGGAGTGGGAGAGCAATGAAAGAGATACCTTGATAGAGGGAGACATCATTGGGATAGGGAGAAATTGGGTGCTAGGGAAATTCCCAGTAATCCACAAGGATGACCCCAGCTTAGACTACTAGCAATAGTGGAGAGGGTGCATGAGGTGGCTTACCCAGGTAATCAGATTGGCAAACACCCTAACTGTCATCATAGAGCCTTCATCCAGTAACTGATGGAAGCAGATGCAGAGATCCACAGTCAGCACTAGGTCAAGCTCAAGGAGTCCAGTTTAAGAGAGGGAAGGGATTCTCTGAGCAAGGGGCATCAAGATCATGATGGGGAAAACTACAGAGACAACTGAACCAAGCTAGTGAGAACTCATGAACTTTTGACCAAAAGCTGTGGAGCATCCATGGGACAGAACTAGGCACTCTGCATGAGAAAGACAGTTTAGTAGCTTGGTCTGCTTAAGGGGCCCCCTGGCAATAGGATCAGGATCCATCCTTGGTGCGTGAGCTGACTTTTTGGAGCCCATTACTTATGGTGGGATACCTTGCACAGCCTTGATGCTTGGACCTGCCTCAACTGAATGTATCAGGCTTTGCTGACTTCCTATGTGAGGCCTTATCTTTTTGGAAGAGGGAATGGGTGGATGGGTTGGTGGAGAGGTTGAGGGGATGGGAGGAGAGAAGAGAAGATGGCCTGTGGTTGATATGTAAAATGAATAAGAAATTTGTTTTTTTGTGTGTGGTTTTTCAAGACAGGGTTTCTCTTTGTAGTTTTGGTGCCTGTTCTAGATCTCGCTCTGTAGACCAAGCTGGCCTCAAACTCACAGAGATTTGCCTGGCTCTGCCTCCTGAATGCTGGGATTAAAGGTGTGTGCCACCACCAACTGAATACAAATTTTTTTTTAAATTATTTATTTATTTATTTATTTATTTATTTATTTA